AAACGCCTTATTTCTTATTTTATTTTATTTTATTTCCTGTATAAATCCAGCTTTATTTAACTTTACAAAGCAAAAAACAAAACAAAGCAAAAACAGAAACATAACCTTAAAGGCAGGGATGTGCGTCTGCACGTAGACTTTCATAGTCTACTTTACGTGTAGACAATGTAGACAATGTAGACAACGTGTCAACAATGTAAAATAATATAAATGACGTTTAATTTTAACCTCACACTTTCCTTTTAGAAAATTATTTTTCCTACAGCCGTGCGGAAAAATCGATTTTCCGCACTGATATGCGTGCGCAAAATGAGTTTTCCCGCACGGTGCGGTAAAACTTTTTTTTTTGACATATCAGTGCGGAAAAAGTTTTTCCGCACGGCTGTCAGTGCGGAAAAAATTTTACCGCAATGATATGTCAAAAAAAAAGAAAAATTTTACATTTTTACGCCTGTAGGAAAAATATTGTACCTAAAACTTGCGGAAAATATTTTTCCGCACTCGGCTGCATCACCGAACTACGCTACGCGTCGTTCGGTGAACGGCAGCCGCGTGCGGAAAAATTCATTTTCCGCACTTGTTAGGTAAATAGCTATTTCTTTCATTATCGGTTTTCCTGTTTTCCTTATATTTATAATCAGTGAATGCTGATATCCAAGTGATAGGTATAAGCTACCTAGGTAGTAGTAATTTTGGAACTTTTTTTTAAATTTTCTAAAATAAATTTATTGTTTACGCCACAGGTAGACATAGACAAATGCCCACGTAAACAATTCGAATTGTCTACGCGTAGACAATCAATTGTTTACGTTGTCATGTCTACACATCACTGCTTAAAGGCCTGCCAACTGTCAAAAATTGTATACTTTACGCGTTGTCTACATATTTTACACGTTGTCTACTAGATTACATGGTTTACATTGTCTACGCGTTGTTTACACCAGACGTAGATCTTTGTTTACGCGTAGATGCCCATCTCTGTTCCGTAGTGCTTCAGAGCACACCAATAAGTGTTCTCACAGAAATCACAGTCAAAGGCTGAGTTCGGCTTTGCACTCCACAGAGCGGAACGATATGTGCATAGATATCGTGACGTCATATGCAGAGTGCGCCCTGAACAAAGTGATAAGCCGAACGCAGATGAAAAAAAAAATAAAAAAATCCTGGAACTCTATTAATAAGGGGAACGCAAACCGAATTAATTATTTTAGACAATATTTTAGATTAATTTCTTCAAAAGTGACAGTTGATAACTAATTTCTCTGGTTCTCTACAAGGATGATTCACACCTAGAGTGCGTTCGAAATCACCCTGGACGTCACACAGAGTTAGCCATGCATTTTTCATGGCTGGTGTGCACTCGGGGTGACGCCCAGGGTGATTTTGAACGCACTCCTAAGGTGTTTTCTCGCGTCTCAAATGTTTCAAAACATTTTTCAAAACTGGTTTAAAACAGTGTCACATGACGTCATAACTTCTTGGCGGAAGAAAATGGTTTTTAAATGTGAATTGGATTGTATTTCGAAAGGGTTTGAACCAATTTTAATGTGACGTCACTGGTTCATCGCGAGAATATACTACTGTTTCAAACGTGTTTTGAACCAGTTTCAAAAAAAATAACGCAAGAAAACAGCTTTAAAATTTGTTTCACGAGGGTTCATACTTTTTGCCTTCCTTTTTTAACATATAGAAATTGACTTTAACAAATCCAATGACGTCAAAAACTTTCGTCGGTTCTTAAACCAGAAGTCATTCATTTCATTTTAATTTAAAGTCTGTTTTTTTTTAAAGATAATTCTCCAAGTCAAAAATTTAGTAACTGTTGGCAACGCACGCAACGCAAGCCTTTCCTACATAAAAAATTTGAAAGATTGACAATTTCACATTGTATTGCCAACATCATGTCAGTTTGACTTTTATCTTTAAAAAAAACACATTTTATCAAAAAAATTGAATGTGTCACATGAATTAAATCCACGACAACCCTTTTTTTTTCGATCCATCCATCCAGGGAAAAGAGAGCGAGCTCAGCGTATGTGGTCGATTGTAACCCGAACGCAAAAGAGAACACTCCGAGAGCAAAAACAAACAGGATCTTATCGTTTCGAGCGCGCTCAGAGTTTCGCTTCGGTGTTAGTCGCCCCGATTTGTTAGGAATAAATGTGTGGTGCAAGAACCACTTTTTGAAAAGAATAAGCGCGTAATGCCCCTGAGCTTTTCCGGAGCTCCTCCTAGGTGTAAAAGGAATACAACTAATATATTCTGACACAAACAAACGGAGTTTTTTATTACCCATGATTTTTAATTTGTGAGGTTGAGATTATGAACTATTTTATTTTCCGATTTTTTACTATTTTGTAGATTTCTGGCAGATTTGGAAAATTTTGGATTTTCTATTGGATGACGATTTCGAAATCGAATTTTATTGGTGTGTCACCATTTCCAACGTCATTTACAAGTCTTCAGTTGTTTGCACTAGCAGTCGTAGTTTGAAATTCAAATTTATGAAAAAAATTATTGTTTAATTTTGATTAAGGCAAAGAGGAAGATGAAAACGAGATCTAAAAAAGAGTTGTTCTAGAATGTTAATTAATGTAGTAAAACCAAGTATGCATAAGCAAAATCCCGCAGAATCATAACCTGTAGTGCAAACAGCCTACACCTAGGCCAGAAAGATCATGCTGCTACGTCACAACTGGTGATTTGGCGTGGTGGGATGCTTCAGATTTGTAACACACAGGCCTTATGAGGATAGGCTATCCTGTAGTAGTAGTGTCTATTAACCTTGGGAAACAGGGAACCGTAAAATGTGGCGTTTTTATATCTAATTCGAAGCTGCCTTATCTTACTCCTCCTCGAAGCAAGTGCAGGTTGAACATGAACTAGGCCAGTATTCTCGTACTCGAAAACGCTCACCTCTTTTACTGTGCGTTCGGTATTTTGATCTGAGTTCTCCGAGCTTGAATTTACCGTTCGTTTATTAGAAAAGTGTACTCGGTGCAGGCTCATTCGCGTTCGTTTATCAAAATTTTGAGCACTCGGATTCAGCGTTCAACTGCTCTGTTCGCTCGCTGGTCATGTGATTACGGCTCCGCTTAACACGCTCTGCTCTTTGAGCAAAATACCGAACGTAAAGTATGTCGCTAAGCACTTTTAAGGTACGGTTTGTTAGGATAGTACGCGACGCACAAACGTCGCCATTGGTTTAGGTATGACGTACACCCGTCTTCTGACGTGAGAAAACAGGTGTACGTCATACCTATGGTCATACCTGAACCAATGACGACGTTTACGTTGTCAGTTGTGCGACGCGTACTCTCCTAACAAACCGTACCTTTAATGTGAATTTACATTAAAAGTGCCGAGCGACTAAGGGCGAGTATTATAAAACTGCTTTGACAGTTAACTTAAAGTTAACTTTTTGAATTACATGTAATTTCAAAAATTAACTTTAAGTTAACTCTCAAAGTAGTTTTATAATACCCGCCCTAAAAAGCGATGAGCGTTTTCGAGGACGAGAATACCTGTCCTGGGCTGGTGCTCCGGTGTAAGTCGCCACCGATTTGAAAGGTGCGTGGTGCAACAAATATTTTTCGAAAGGAATAAGCGCGTAACGCTTTGGAGCAGTTCCGTAGCTCCTCCTAGGTGTGAAAGCAATACAACTAAAATCTGTTTTTTTTTTAAAGATAAAAGTCGAAATGACATTATGTTGGCAATACAATGTAAAATTGTCAATCTTTCAAATTTTTTCTGTAGAAAAGGCTTGTGCTACCAACATAGTCACTAAATTTTTGACCTGGGGAATTATCTTTAAAAAAAAAACAGACATAGGGTAGGTTCCGTTGTCAACCCTTGGTTACGGTTACACGTTCCGTAATGTCTGGTTCCTGAAAAACCGGTCATACGGAACGCGGTTGGTTATGTCAAACATGTCACCAAGGCAACCGGCGGCGATTCTGTGATTGGAAAAGCGTTCCGTATTAAGTCTAGTACTCATAACTGCGAAATTCGCACTTTTTTGACATTACTTCGACAAATTGACGTTTTATGCATGAATCAAACGTCAAATTTTCGAAGCAAAGTCAAAAAAATGCGAATTTCGCAGTTATGAGTACTAGGCTTTAGGGAGGATTTTCATGCATCCGTTTTTCCGTCGAAATATGTCCGGAAAGTCTTCTATTTTGACATATTTATATACGATTATGTCAGAATAGAATGTTAAACGGACATATTTCGTCGGAAAAACGGATGCATGAAAATCCTCCCTTAAACCGAAATTTTCAGCAACCGCTTGTCAATCGTTGTCAACCGCTGTCAACCGACATTGTACCGACCGGTTAACCAGGTTAGACAACGGAATCCACCCTTAGTTTATTGCCATAACACAAACGAACGCCCCAAAGCAGGAAGTGCTGCTCCAAACAATACAAACAAACAAACTTCGGCTGTGCTCTTTTTTAAACTCTCAGTACTGTATTCGCTGGGAAGCGTTCCAAATTTAAAATTCAGTGTACTGAAAAAATTACTTATGACGTCACAAAAAACAAAACTGAAACAAGTATGTGTGCAAGAAAGACAAAAGACGATTCCGTCAACAGATGTTGTCGGTAGCCAAGGACGCGCAAACAACTGACGACTTAGTTAATGACGTCGACAATGGTGCTACACCATATGACCGCGATTACCAAAATCAAGGCCGATAAGCAAAAGCAATCCTGTAGTCAAGGTTCCTAAAGTTAATGTTGAAGTTACCTCTCTCAAACAAGCTTGTCCTGAAGTACTATGTACTATCTTTGCCTTGGATCCGATTAACCCGATCACGAGTTGATGTAATTTGTCTTTTTTCAATCGAGTTCATTGGAGAAAAATAAATAACAAAGAGCCTGTGATCGGGCCAAACTCACCGATTTTCGTAAAAGTCTTGAGACTCCTTTTGGAACCAGTTGGAACAGACCACTAAACATTTTTTACAGTGTTGCCAAAACCCAATTATGACAAATGGGATTTGTTTTTGTTATTGTTAAATAATAAATAAATCAAGAAATGAAAAGTAAACATTCAATTATTTGAGGATTTGACAAAATTAAAAAAATAAAATACAAAATCAAAAAAACAAGCTCTGGAGCTTCTGGCAAATGCCCTGTGGCGGCCATCTTTGTTCCTTTGTAGAAATTTTCCATTTTGTGAAGGTACTCGTACGAATTTACACTGTAAAAATAAATTTGACCGCTTTTTAAACCGTTTATACGCGATATTTGAATTTATTTGTTTTTAATTCAATTAGCTAAAAAAGAAAAAAAACAAATTTCCTAATATTTGTTTATACTTTACACATATAGGAATGCAGGTAATAAACGAAAACTATTCTTCAATAATTTTCTATAATTTTACTAAAACTTTTCAGAAAAATGTGTACAGAAGGTGCCCAATTGATAAACTTACCATCCGAGCAGTCGGAAACCGAATTTACTGAGATGATAAGCATCAATATAATTTGCAGAATATGTGCCAATCAAAGCGACAAACTTATCGGCATCTACACAGAAGACGGACTCAGTAACGATTTAGCAGAAAAAATTAATATTTATTTGCCAGTTCATGTAGAGGAAACAGATATTTTGCCATTACAATGTTGTTGGCAGTGTGCTTCGACAGTACTAGCTTGGCACGAATTGATATTAACAAGTCTTGAAGCTGATCGAAGGCTTCGTTCTTATCAATTTGTTACTGAAAAACAGCTTCAAGAAATCACTTCTGGCTATGGAAATACTGATAATTTATTGGCAACTACTAATGATTATGATGAAGAAACTTTGTAAGTAAATTATTGGTAATTATACAGGGTGTTTGTTTCACGAACATCGAAACAGAGGCGTTTTGGGGTATTTCAAGGTCGTTAAAAAAAAAAACCGCTCGGACACCCTAATTTTGTATTCAAGGGGGAAACTTTTTGACCCCATCAGTATTTCACTAGGGTGCACTTCCTGGGTGGCGTGACTTCCATCCCTCTTTTTAAGATAGGGAAGATGGGTCGAGTGGTACCTTGTTAAAAAGGTGGAAAATGGTGTCTGCCAATTGCTGGAATGTGGCTGGAGCATTGCATAATCCAAAACTCATAAAATTGAACTCCCATAGACCATGTTCTGGGGCTTGAAATGCCGTAAGTGGCCTGGATTCTTCCTGAATTTTTACTTGTCAGAATCCAGAAAACATGTCCAACGATGAAAAATATTGCGCCTTTCCTAAATATGTAAGAATATCGTCTATGTTAGGAATACTATAGCTGGATTTTTTGGTTACAGTATTTAGGCGCCTGAAATCAACACAAAATGTAGTTTCTCCTGATTTCTTTTTAACTATTACTACAGGGCTAGGGCTAGCCCAAAGAGAATGGCTTGGTCTAATTACATTGTATTTAGCCATTTCCGATATTTGACTATCTATTATTTCCCTTTCTTTTTGAGATACTCTATATGCCTCCTGTTTTATAGGCTCCAATATCTATGTTATGTTCTACAAGATCTGTCTTTCCCATATTTTTTGGAGTTTTTGAAAATATGTCATTAAATTCGTGTAATAAATTTTGAACTTTCATTTTTGTAGTCTGATTTTTTATATGGTTTATTTTGTGATTTTTCATCGTAACTTCGTCCTCTTTTCCACTTTCTTCCAATAAAAATATTCCCGATTCCAATATATTATATACTTCTATGCCTTCTAGAAAACCCAAAGTGGTGCCTCTCAAAAATTTCACATTATTATGACTCCTTGTTGTCAATCTATATACGAGGTTATTTTCAATCTTGTAGACTGGTGATAGGCAAACTATTCCTTTATTCCTTAGATTTTTTTCATTTCGGCAAAAACTAAAATTGGGTAAATTTTCATACTCAAAAATGTCTGAATTGGTAGCAAGCTTTACGGTGATTTCCGTGTTCGGTTTCAAAATATAATCTTCCTGAGCGATCAATTTAATTTTCTGTCGGTTTTCTTCGATTTGTGTATTACATATTATTATTTCTTCTTTGTCTTCTAGAGAACTTTTTCCTTCTGTGTCGTTTTTATTCTCGGTGTATAGAGACGAACGAGTAATTTGCCCTACTCTATTTTTCGTCAAAAAAGTTATGGTGGTATTTATGTTAAAATTGCTTAAATTTACTGTACAGTTATTATAATCTATTTTCGCCTTATTTTTTGACAAAAAGTCGGTGCCAAGAATCAACGGCTTTGATGATTTTTCCACTACGAGTGCTAATATGTAGCCTTTAATATTTCCAATTTCCAAATTCACTTCTGATGTGCCTAAAGTTTTTATTCTGCCACCTCCTGCAACTAAAAGGTGGTGATGTTCGCATACTGGTTTCAGGTGCTCAACCAAACTACTATCTACTACGCATTGACTTGCCCCCGTATCTAAAATTATTTCCATATTTTCATAATTATTTACAGTTCCCGTAATTTTCAATATATTTTGGGATGGGTTAACCCCGGTTTGCAGGACGACTTCATTGGGGTTCTTTGGTTGAGCCGTCCGAATGCCTTTGGGGAAGGCGATCTACAAAATGACACTCTTCCTGTGTCGTTTTTAAGCTTGCACAAAAAAATGCGAATGATCCAAAAAAGTTGTGGAAAGTTATAGGTGAAGCAACAAATGATGGTTTTCACAAAACAGAAATCAGAAGTATTATAAGCTGTGATAATAATAATAATAATAATAATAATAATAATATTTATTATCTCCAGAAAAATTACATTCCAAACAGTTAACTAAGATAAATGTGGGGAATAATAGGCCATATTTGCAGCATCCCACGCAAGCATGAGTGCTGTTGAGGCCCCAAAAAATTGCTTAAAATAAAATATAAAGAAAGGCTTATCTAAGATCTATGAATATGAAAATCAAGTAACGCACTTGATACTTAAACTGTAAGACGAAGAAAGAGAAGAAGGAGGTGGAAAAATAGAGAAAAGAAGGAAAGAAAAGAAAAAGAAAAAGAGGGCACATGGTAGAGAATAATATATATACTAGAGCGGAGAATAATATTAAAGCAGATAGGAATTTCATGATGTACCCAATTATTTATGTGCAGGAAATTAAGGGCGATTTATCTAGAGCAGGAAATATAATATATTATATTTTAAATTAGTTTTAATTTCATTCTTTTTTTAAAAACACCAACAGATGTAGAAAAATCAATTATTTCATATTTGTTAATGAGTGAGGCAATGGTATAGCTGAATGACTTTTTGAAGAATTCTTTATTGTGAGACGGTATTGTCAAAAGCTGTTTCCTGCGAATGTTTAAATTATGAATGTCAGTTGGATATTTGATTTTATTGTGTAGGTATGGTGGAGTTTTAAATTTTAATAATTTATAAAAGAAGCATAGTGAGTGCAGACTACGCCTGTTAAACATACTTAACCAGCCCAATTCATTCAGTTTGTGTGAAACTCGGTCTCTTCGTCTTATTCCACACGCAAACCTAATGCAAGAGTTCTGAACCTTTTGGACTCTCCTAACATCTATCGAATCCAAAAAAGGCCCATATAGGTGATCGCAAAAATTAAAATGCGAGAGAATTAAAGAGTCGCAAAGCAAAGTTTTAGTTCTTTGACAAAGATAGTGTCTATGAGAGTATAAACCCCTCAAAACTGAATATGCTCTTTTTAAGCAAAGTGTTATGTGTTCTTTAAATTTGAGTTTGCTATCCATGACAAGTCCCAAGTTTTTAGCCGAATTTTTAAATGATATCGTGTCTTGTCCTAGATTTAGTTCAATATTGCCTAAAAGATCATTTCTAATATTTTCATTACAAAACAGGAGAGCTACCGATTTGTTAGGATTTATTTTAAGCAAATGCTTATTTGATTCATCAAGCAACGATTTCAGATCTTCATTGATCAGCTTATTGGCTGCAGCTACTTCTGAAGGTTTGAAAGATAAATAGATTTGCGTATCGTCTGCGTATAAGTGGTATTGACAAAATTTTAATGATTTTATAAAGTTAGAGGTGAATATACTATACAGAAGAGGACCCAAAATACTACCCTGAGGCACTCCCGCAAAGACATTAAGAGATTCCGAATATTGTCCGTCAAGAGTAACTCTTTGAGATCTCTTTGAAAGGAATGAGGTCACAAGTAGAGACGCCGACTTACTGAAGCCTACGTATTTTAAAATCGACAGAAGAATTTCATGGTGAAGCATATCAAATGCTTTTGTATAGTCTAATAAAATGAGCACACTAGCATTGCTGTTGTCCTGCGCCCGCACTATATCATCAGTTAAATCAGACAAAGCAGTTGAGCAGCTATAGCCCGCTCTAAAGCCGGATTGTTTGCTGGGTATTATGTTATTGTTGTTGAGGAATGTATTTATCTGAAGTTCCATAACTTTTTCAAGGATTTTTGAGAGAGTGGGTAAAATAGAAATTGATCGTAAATGACCAAACTCGGTAGGATTTTTAATTTTGGGGAGAGGAATTACATTGGCGGACTTCCAAGATTGGGGAAAGTGTGATTCACTTAGGCAGCAATTTATAATGTGTGTTATAAATGGAATTATAAATGGACAACACAAAGTAATCAGCGTTATATTGAGATTATCCGATCCTAGAGCTTTAGATTTGAGTTTAAGGAGAATTTTGGAAATCAAATATTCGCTAACTGGCTGAAAAAAAAAAGTTTCATTGACCAATAAATTATTTTTATAAAAGTTGAATTGTATAGAATTGACTGATAGAAATGAAATTGCATACAAATTTAATAGATATTTTATTAGCATAGGAAAAAAATTAGCAGATAATATAGTACAATGCAAAGACCAAAAAGACAATGGGGAGAAAAAGGGGGAATTAAATTCATTTTTTTTGGATCCTATCTCAGAAAAAGAACTTAAAAAAGAAATACAGAATTTAAAAAATGGGGTCAAAGGGGGGGAGGATTGCATTTGTTCCAATATCATAAAGAAGTATGTTGAAATACTGATAAAGCCGCTTCATCATATAGTGAATGTTACTTTCGGTACTGGAATTTTTCCCGAAATCTTAAAAACAACTGTAGTTTTACCACTTTATAAGAATGAGGATCAAAAATCTACAAACAACTATAGGCCCATAGCTTCAACTAGTACTATAAGTAAAATTATTGAAAAGTGTTTGAGAACAAAATTATTGGCATACCTCGAAAAAAATGAACTCTTGCATTGTAATCAGTTTGCTTTCAGGGAAAATTTCAGCACTGAGAATGTGCTGTGTAGAGTGACAGAAAGAATATTAAAACAACTTGATAAGGGCAAAAAAGTTATAGGAATTTTCGTTGCATTTGACACTGTGGCACACTCGATTCTGCTTAAACGTCTGGAGTAGGTTGGTATCAGAGGTGTTCCAATGAATCTTGTTAAATCATACTTAACCAAAAGAAAACAGAGTACTAACATATCAGGTGTTCAGAACGATAAACTAGAGGTAGAGTTTGGTGTGCCGCAGGGTAGAGTGCTTTCTACATTACTTTTTAATATATACATAGATGGTTTTATGTCTTTGCTTGATAGAGAGGATATCTTTTGCTTTGCAGATGATTCTTGTGCAGTGATTAGTGGGGAAAGCTGGGAATTTGTGAAAATGAGTGCTGAAGAGGCTTTGCAAAAAATCAAAAGGTGGCTAGATGGCAGTTTACTGTCACTCAATATAGATAAAACCAAAATAATAACTTTTTTATTTTCAAAGTGTTAAATTGCATGATGCTTCATGCAAATTGGATACTCAATGTAATTGTGTTGAAATGGTTCAAAGAATCCCTTCCCTTAAATATTTGGGGGTGTTCATAGATGAAACTTTCACTTGGAAGGATCAAATAAAATGTGTCACTAATAAAATAAGGAACCTTATTTTCAAATTTTATGAATTAAGGCCGGAGTTACCCAATTCCTTAATTCTTAATATTTGTCCTTAATTCTTAATTCTTAAAAAGTTCAATTTATTTAACATTGGGGTTTTTAAAGATTAAATCATACTTAACCAAAAGAAAACAGAGTACTAACATATCAGGTGTTCAGAGCGATAAACTAGAGGTAGAGTTTGGTGTGCCGCAGGGTAGAGTGCTTTCTACATTACTTTTTAATATATACATAGATGGTCTTATGTCTTTGCTTGATAGAGAGGATATCTTTTGCTTTGCAGATGATTCTTGTGCAGTGATTAGTGGGGAAAGCTGGGAATCTGTGAAAATGAGTGCTGAAGAGGCTTTGCAAAAAATCAAAAGGTGGCTAGATGGCAGTTTACTGTCACTCAATATAGATAAAACCAAAATAATAACTTTTTTATTTTCAAAGTGTTAAATTGCATGATGCTTCATGCAAATTGGATACTCAATGTAATTGTGTTGAAATGGTTCAAAGAATCCCTTCCCTTAAATATTTGGGGGTGTTCATAGATGAAACTTTCACTTGGAAGGATCAAATAAAATGTGTCACTAATAAAATAAGGAACCTTATTTTTAAATTTTATGAATTAAGGCCGGAGTTACCCAATTCCTTAATTCTTAATATTTGTCCTTAATTCTTAATTCTTAAAAAGTTCAATTTATTTAACATTGGGGTTTTTAAAGATTAAATCATACTTAACCAAAAGAAAACAGAGTACTAACATATCAGGTGTTCAGAGCGATAAACTAGAGGTAGAGTTTGGTGTGCCGCAGGGTAGAGTGCTTTCTACATTACTTTTTAATATATACATAGATGGTCTTATGTCTTTGCTTGATAGAGAGGATATCTTTTGCTTTGCAGATGATTCTTGTGCAGTGATTAGTGGGGAAAGCTGGGAATCTGTGAAAATGAGTGCTGAAGAGGCTTTGCAAAAAATCAAAAGGTGGCTAGATGGCAGTTTACTGTCACTCAATATAGATAAAACCAAAATAATAACTTTTTTATTTTCAAAGTGTTAAATTGCATGATGCTTCATGCAAATTGGATACTCAATGTAATTGTGTTAAAATGGTTCAAAGAATCCCTTCCCTTAAATATTTGGGGGTGTTCATAGATGAAACTTTCACTTGGAAGGATCAAATAAAATGTGTCACTAATAAAATAAGGAACCTTATTTTTAAATTTTATGAATTAAGGCCGGAGTTACCCAATTCCTTAATTCTTAATATTTGTCCTTAATTCTTAATTCTTAAAAAGTTCAATTTATTTAACATTGGGGTTTTTAAAGATTAAGCATTAAGAACAAAAATTAAGAATTAAGGAATTGGATAACCCCGGCCTTAGACACATTTTATCTTTTGAAATACTTAAACAAGTGTATTATTCTCTTATAGAATCTATTCTGAACTATGGCATAGTTGTGTGGGGAAATGCAGGTTCTACAATACTGTCCAAGCTCTTAATTGCACAAAAGTGGTGCTGATACTTTTCAAGAATAAAAGATATCCAACTGAATTAATCAATAAAGAAAGTGGTTTGTTAAATATTAATCAATTGTATATCAAATCAGTAATAAGGTATATGTTAAAAAAACACTGACTATAGACAAAATATAACACACGGCATAAATACTAGAAATGTAGTTCAAAATAATCTAGTACGAGGCATCCCCAGGCATACTATCTGCCAAAATCATATTTACTGTGTAGGACCAAAAGTTTTCAACTCACTACCCCAAAACTTGAAATCAGAACCTTATTGTAAATTGAAAAGGCAAATTACAAGTTGGATAGTAGACACTAGTTTTAGTATTAAGTACATAATATAAGAAAGGAGAAAGGCAATTGTGTATTGGTTAATTGTATTTTTAATTGTTTTGCTTAAAAGTTTTATTCTTATTTTTCATTTCCGTTTTAAACATACCTCAATTTGTTACTAAAGATAAAAGAAAGTGGCGCACACACAGTATTCTTAATACTATCGTGCGTCAAAATTGTTAGCAGTAGATTTTATTTTATTTTAGTTCTACGTGAGTGGGGAACTAATGTTATATTTTTATTGTTTTTACTTTTTTTGTTAACTATTGCTAATAAATAAATAAATAAATAAATAAATAACTAAATATTGCACAAATAATGACCACTTCTGCCGCAATCTTTGCATCTTGGTCTCCCGTCGCTACTTCTTGTGTTTGGGAGGTTGGATCGTTAATAATTTCCTCTGTAGCCACCCTGGTAGCCGCCGCGGCCTCTTCCTCTTGACCTGTTGCTTCCGTAATTATTCCCGTAATTATTTCCGTTGTTTCGATTTACATTGTAATTCCCTTGTCCTTGGCTGCCTCTGTTCCAATTTTGTTGATGACCCCTTTGATATGTCATGTTTTGTCTCCCAGAGCTATTATGGAAGTCTGTACGATTGAAATTTCTATTATATCTCCCATTATTTCTGGTTCTAAAATTTGAATTTAAATTATCAGGTGTCAAATAATGATTATTGGCATTGTTTTCCCTGGAATTTGTGTTGTGGTTATCATTAAGGTTTAAAGTCAACCCCTATTTCCTGAACCTTGTGTTCAAAAATTCTAAAAAAAATATATGTACTTAGGAAATTTTAAAATATTTTTTTGTAACTTATAACTTGTAGCTTTTAGTATTTAATTTTAATTTTTCTAACTTGTATTAATTTTGCTTTGTTTTTGTAATTATGTTTAATTTTTCGATTTGAAATCTTTTTTTTCCAGGATGTTTTATCGCTGGAGTCCAGCTTTCTGTAGTCCGAGGGAAATGTCAAGCCAACTAATTCTTGTCACAACTGTGTACTTTTTTAAAAATCGAATGATTAGTTCTCAAGATATTCACTGTCAAAGTTGCCATGGCAATTTTGACAGAAAATATCTTGTGAATAATTTGATTCTCAAAAAAAGTACACAGTCGTGACGAGAATCAAAGTACCTTTAAAACAAGGTACCACGCGACCCATCTTTCCTATCTAAAAAAGAGGGGTTAAAGTCACCCCACCCAGGGGGTGCACCCTAGCGAAATACCAATGGGGTCAAAAAGTTTCCCCCTTGAATACAAAATTGATGTGTCCTTGCGTTTTTTTTTTTTTTAAATTGACCTTAAAATACCCCAAAACGCCTCTGTTTCAATGTTCGTGAAACACCCTATGTGGTTCTTACTGTAGTAAACTAACAGGTACAAATCTTGGTGTCTCCATTTCCAAATGTTTTCTTCTATATGTTTTTGCTTTGCCACCTTCCTCTATCCATACATATTTTCTTGGCTTACCTACTTTGTTGTGTGAAGGAAATTTTTTGTTTCAGGCTAGCCACTGATTCAATATCTAAAGACACTGTTCAATATGAAACTATAAACAACACCGAACTAGCAATACAAGAGACTGAAATTGAAGATCCTAAATTTATAATAGATGAAGAGCAAAAGGTGGAAAAAAAAATTAATCTGCCAGTGGAAGGCACCCTTTTATCACATAATGATATTAAAATACAGACTATTGAAGTAAAAATAGACACTGTCAAAAGTGATAGTGAGGAAGAGAAAGAAAGTCTATATAAATTTAAGTGTCTTTATTGTCCAACTTTATTCTTGACTATGCAAGATGAAGAACAGCATGTTAAAACAATACATCCTAATGAAAATCCCAAACACATTTATTTCAATGAAAACGATTCTCAAGAAAAATCCATTAAAGAAGAGAACGTTATAGTGAAAACCCCAAAAACAACAGACAAAAGTGATATTGGTTTAAAAGCTAAACACATGATTAAACATCCCATACCAAAAATCAACCCAGAAGAAGTCAAAAAGGCAAAAGTAGTAGTAGATGGGCGAACTTTTTATATATGCAAAGAATGTGGAAAAAGTTTACATTCCATGTACACTTATATGTGGCATACAAGAATCCATACAGGAGAAAGACCATATGTTTGTAATATTTGCAATAAACAATTTCGAGTCTCTCAAGGTCTGGTGCGCCATTTAAAAGAAACTCACGAAAGAATTAAAAATTTTAAATGCGATATATGCGATCGATCATTTACCACTAAACGTAACGTCGAAGAACACCGTAGGATCCATACAAACGAACGTCCTTACATTTGCGAAATGTGCGGAAAATCATTTAAACAAAAAGCCTCGTTGTTTGTACATAATCGATCTCACAGTACCGAATTTCCGTTCACTTGTACAGAATGCCCGCAAAAGTTCAAGACAAAAGCGCCATTGGTTCTTCACGCATCGACACATACTGGGGAAAAACCGTTTTCATGTGACATATGCGGCAGGAACTTTAGGATAAAATATGAATTGAAAAGGCATAAACTTATACATTCGGAAGATAAACCTTTTAAATGTGATTTATGCGGGCTAGTATTTAGACAAAAAAGATATTTAAGGAATCATTACAGACATAATCATGCTAATTATCAAATGCTGTTGTTGGATGAATTTAATGATACCACTTAATTAAAATCAAAAAAGTATATACAATAATGTGTTTGCTGGATATTGTGGAATGGCGAAAAGTGTATGTATTGAGTTGAGGCAGCGCAAAGAAACATTGAGAACCTGAATAAGGTATTTAGATGTGAAATCTCTAGCATATCGGGCAACAAGAAGAAAGTACATATTATACATTTAAATGTCTTTATTGGTAACAGATTTGAAAAGAAAACATCCCGCAAACACATGGACAAATAAAAATTATTAAAATGTGAAATTTCTGGCAACAATGAACTGTTTATTTATATTTGTTTGTATGAATCGATCTTTTGTACCTATTTACTTATAAAATCGTTGGTATCCTAATGAACAAAAATTATTTTTGGATTTTTTTTTTCATCTGGACTTTTTCCCTGAAAAAAGTATCTTTTTTTAGCGAACAGAATTCAGAAATTCCTAACTCAAGTACTCCAAAAAAGGACTCTTCACTAACATTGTGTGAAACTGATAAAGACGAAGGCACAAGTGAAGAAGTACAAATTAGTGATGTTAAACATACTAAGGATAACAATGCACCCCCTGTTAATATGCACCTTATTGCTGCTGATTGTGAGACACTAAAAAATAAAAAAGCGTTAAGAATCAGAAGAAAAAAATCGGAAATAACAAAAAACTTCAAGTGTTCTAAATGTGATAAATGCTATTTGAAAAAACATGATTTAACCAGACATCTCCAATCCAAACACGGTCAGGCAATTATTGTCAATAAGCAAAAAACAGAGAATCAGGAGCTTATGAACGCTTGCAAAGTGAACACCACAAAAAAAGAAGTTTCATACAAATGCAACGTTTGCTCCAAATTATTTGTAAAATCTTCCAACTTTTTAAGACACTACACCATTCACACAAACAAAAAAGCATACTGTTGCAGCATATGTAGTAAAAATTTCAGATGTAGTGGTTCTTTGAGCAGACATGTGAATGAAGTGCATGAAAATATAAGAAAATTTAAATGTGAAAAATGCAAAACAGCATTTAAAAATAAGTGGTCCCTCGATCAGCACTCTAATAAACATTCCAGACATTATCTTTGCGATATATGTGGCAAATCATTCAGTTATCGTGCATCATTGTTTGTCCATAAAAAGTTTCACTCTGAAAACTATTCTTATGAATGTAAGGTGTGCCAAAAAAAATTCCACCGTAAAAATAACTTGGAAAATCATGTTTTAACTCACACTAAAAGCAAACACTATGCCTGTGACAAATGTTTTGCAATGTTTAATGTTAAAAAAGCATTACATAGGCATTATAAAAGTCATTGAATAGGGATATATTAATAATAAATGTGTTAATTTAGATATATTATATTACTATCTTATGAAAACAAATTGTCACTTAATCCTAAACAATATCTGTGGCAGCATTGACCATTGTAGCTAAATCCTCACCCCCTTCATTTAGTCTCTCTCTTATCAATTCAGCAATAGCTCTTTGTGTTCTTCGCTCCAATTTTTCCAATTTCTTTGCAATGTCCCGTTTCAAATCCCAATCGGGTGGTCTTGGGGCTAAACTTGTAACATCCACTACATCCATTAAGAGTTGAGACTTGGCCGATTCCAGTTGATCTTTAACTAGTTCACCGATATCTTCCGGCCCAGTTTCCGATATGACGTTCTCTTGTAGCTTTTCATCTGTGGGCTTATAACTTCGGAATATCGGTTTGGGTAGTGAATCCTGCTCCGCTTCGTGCTGTTTGGAATTCGGTTCATCGGAGGTGTCCGATTTTCCTTCGCGTTTTCGTTTCAGGGCCAGCAATCTTTGTCTTCTTTTGGCCGCATTTTCTTCCAAGGACCCCGGAGTATAATTTGATTGCATTGTCATGGGACGTGTTATGGAAACACCTTGAATTGAATTTATTTCAGCTCTTATTTTATTATAATTTCAATTAATAATAAATCATCAAATGAAGATAAACAAACAGAAAACATAACCATACTTTTCGTTCTTTTGAGTGACAAATGACAACACTAGCGTTTTCATTTGTTCTGGCTCCAATTAGAAATTCGGGCACGCTTAATTTTGGTGCGTAAAATCTCCCATTGCTTTATTCACTCTAATTGTAGTTTAACTTGTGAAATTGGTTGAATTTTTGGTCGAAAAAACCCCGAAACAGTTGAGCATTGACAGTAGGCGTCATAATTTTTCCAAAGGTTATCCGTGCGTTTGCTATTTTCGGTGAAGGCTCATTAGCGTTGGTTTATTAAAATTTCTGGCACTCTGAAACAGCGTTCAACTGCTCTGTTCGCTCGCTGGTCACATGATTACGGCTCCGCTCAGCACGCTCTGCTCTTTGAGCAAAATACCGAACGCAAGATTAGTTCGATTATGTTGAATAATATGAGAATTACCCAATAACATTTGTAGGGTGTTCATTTGTACCAAGGATACTACACACTACTACTACAGGATAGCCTATCCTTATTATGCCTGTGTGAAACAAATCTGAAGCCCCCTACCACGCAAAATCACCAATTGTGATGTAGGCAGCATGCATTTTCTCGCCTTGACATAGGCTGTTTGCACTACAGGTGATGATTCCGCGGGCTTTTGCTTTATGCATACTTGGTTTTACCACATTAATTAACATTCTGAAACAACTCTCTTTTAGATCTCGTTCTCATCTTACTCTTTGCCTATCGTGGTAATCAAAATTGAATAATAATTTTCTTCACAAATTTAAATTCTAAACTACGACCGCTAGTGCAAACAGCTGACGACTAAGTTATGACGTCGGAAATGGGGACACACCAATATGGCGGCGATTACCAAAAACGAGGCCGATAAGCAATCTTTAGTAGTGTGTTTTATCCTTGTGGTGACATGACATTCAGAAGGTGACGTTCTATCATTTGAAAAGTAGAATCGTTCAGCAGAACCTAGAGTTTACCCAACGTATTCTGTTGGTATTTGCGAACTGTTTACAATCCGTTTCGGTTCTGGTGAACGCAGTCAATAATCTTAATAGCCTAGTGCTTTTTATCGTGCAGAGAATCGTATTCGATTGGTAAACAGCTCCGTTCAGATCGATCTGAACGGAGAAAATAGGTTCAACTCGATAACTGCCACTTGTTAGTTGTTCCTTTGGTGTAGTAGAAAGCTTTCTTTTTTTTATATTTGATCTAGCTGAACCGGCAATATTCTTAGCTCACTTCTCGTGATCTAGAGTGGATCTAGATCATTTTTTTGGTGGTAGGGGTAAACTGATCCAACTATAATTGAACTCGGTCTGGTTCACTTAAATTGAACCGGTCGATCTAATCTGGTCAATCGAACGCAGCTCAGATTGGCGTGCTCTAGAGCACTACAGAACCGTTACAGTATCTATATATACAGGGTGTCCCAAAAAGATACCGACAAACTTTAAGGGGTAGTAGGGGACATCAAAACAAGCATTTTTGTTTATATAAACATATGTCCGAAAATGAGCCATTTGGGCTGTAGAGCAAAAAAACTGTTTGGTACTTAGTTATATTCTTCGCTGTAATTAAATCACTGTTTACTTATTAAATTTTGCTTTATTAACAAATAAATTATGGTTTACAATAATTGTTCAACTCGCGAACTCTTTGGAATATTCCGGGAATAGCTTCTACATGGGTACAACTCGCCAGTATCCTTGCTAACAGATCTTCCTCATTACGAACAGGTGTTTCGTAGACTAAACTTTTCAGTCAATGACCCGACGGTGCAATCTTTGCATTGAAGTAAATGGTCAACATTTTGAACAATTATTGTAAATAATATGTAATATTATTGTAAATAATAATTACTATTAATAAAATAAAATTTTGTGTTTTCGATCAGTGATGACGTAACAGCGTGTCGTTTCTCGCCTTGACGTAGTGCTTGCACTAGTTGCACTACGGATTAGGAGGTGTTTTCTCGCGTCTCAAAGTTTTGAAACTTTTTCCAAAACTGGTTTAAATCAGTTTCACAATGACGTCATAATTTCTCGGCACGAGGAAATGGTTTTAAAACGTGGATTGGGTTGTATTTCAAAACGGTTTAGAACCATAGTACATTATTCAATATTCTAAAACAACCCTTGTTTAGATCTCATTTGCATCTTCCTCTTGTCTATTGACTATTATGTTAATCAAATTTAAATTATATTTTTCATCATACATGTATTATTCGTCGATTTTTAACTGACACTTGCGGTATGAGGAGCGAGGGGGTGATTAATATGGCAAAAACAGGTGTGATGTCAGGTAACCATTGGCGTTCTAATGTAGGGAAACACCAGCTGACATTCCGTCCGAGTATCAGTTTAAAATCGACGGACAATATATTCTTAACTACGAATGCAAACCGCTAACAAGATCGTTGAAGACGTCGGCAACGGTTCAACAACATATGAACTTGATTCCAAAAATCGAAGCCGATGAGCAATCCTGTAGTAGTATGTAATATCCTTGGTGTGTAGCCTAGCCGAGTTCAGAAATGCGCGCTCAATGTCCAACGCTCTGTTTTTCAAAGTGTTAATTTTATATTATGATACAACCAAACATCAAACAGCTTAATTTATAAAATCTTGGAACCGAAAAATACCGGTAAGAACCGATTAATTTATATCGGTTCCGGTTCTGCCTGCCCTACAACATTTCTATGAAATATGGGTCTCCTTCCGGTTCCGGCCCGCAAAAAAAAAACGGTTTCGTTCCGGTTTTCGGTCCAATATCGTTCCGGTCCGGGTCCCTGATTAATATACCAACCAAAGGTGGGTTCGGCTTGCTCACTCCGAGTGACTCCATTCGCACTCCAGCCGTTCGGGTTAAGGTTTGGGTATTGCTTTTTACCGTATTAGGGGTGACTCCATTAGCTCTGTTCACTCCACTTCAACTCCGCGCTGAATAGCCGAGCCCAGCTCAAGTATGCAAAGCAACAGCTTGCGCAATCATAACCTGCAGTGCAAATAGCTTACGTCCATACGAGAAAGAACATGGTGCCTACGTCACAACTGGTAATTTGGTGGGGTAGGGGGGCCTTATGAGGATTGGCTATCCTTTAGTAGTAGTGTGTATCATCCTTGAGAAAACCCTACAATATAGATTTGTTCAACACATCAGAACAGAAAACCATAATGAGTCGTATTCGATTCGCAACGTAGTTCAGCTCAGATCAATTTGAACGGAAAAAGTAGGTTCAATGCGATAACTGTCAATCGTGACTTTTCAGGTGTTTCTTTGGTGTGGAAAGTTCTCTTTTGTTTTTTTTTTATTTTCAAGTTCACTTCTTGTGATCTAGAGTGGATCTAGATCTTTTTTTTTGTTACAGTGACTCTATTAAACTGATCCAACTAAAATTGAACACAAATCTGGGTAACTTAAATTGAACCAGATCGATCTAATCTAGGCCGCTTTCGGTTGCTACAGTTTGAGCTACTCCGAAGTACTTCGTTCGTGATTGGCCTGTTCCTCTGCGCATATTTCGCGCTCCGGAGTTGTTCTTATTTTCCTCGTCCCCAGCCCCCTGAAGCACCTACCTTTTTCATCATCACTAAAGTAAGCGTTCGGGAGTGAAGTGTATAATGCGCGTCAGAAGTGAAGTGCTCTAGGAGCTTGACGGCCTCTTGGACGTCCTACACCAGAAAGCGGCTCCCTGCTCCCTCTATTATTGAACGATCAAACGAACTTACCTGTGATGTTCGATCGTAATTATATATAGCACCTCGTCCGAAGAGATCACTGCGTTATCTTACTATGTAGTACTGCTTTTTGTACTAGAGGGAGTCACAAATTTCAAAGAACTCAAAATGTCAATCATTGCCCTTACCGACTACAGGACCCTGTTTAACCGGTAGAGTCATCTAAGTTTAAAGTTTCCCGCTATATTTTGGAAATGGGGTCTAGTCTTGGGAGGGTTGGGAGTGATCTCTTCGGACGAGGTGCTATATATAATTACGATCGAACATCACAGGTAAGTTCGTTTGATCGTTCAATTATATTACGCACCTCGTCCTCAAGATCACTGCGTTATCTTACTATGTAGCTGTTCAAAGAACAAAATATAGCGGTAGAACAAAATATAGCGGTAGAACAAAATCCGCTCTCCGCTTGTTAGTGTACCAATGATAAATGACGAATGACGTAATAGAGTGAAATACCATGTTGATTGGTCTCGAAAAAATCGTAATCGATCGAACTAACTGTCACTGTTGCTACTGTCAGCTCAGCTTCTTCTCATTCTTAGCCAATTTTAAGCGAATAACCAAACGAGATTGGTTTTTACCATTTCGGATTGGTATTTACCACAACATTTATGCGACTTTGGTTTTTCTTTTGGTTATGACTCCGTGACGTCATGGATCAGCTCTAAAATGTCATACTTATCACCGCATAATTGCGGTTTTAACCCAGCTCGGGAGTGGTTTTTATTTTGCGGTTATTATTTGAATTGTTGACATTGCATTTTTGGCGGGTTTTTAGCAAGTTGTTTATTTTTTTTAGCAGTTTGTTTGGTATTATGAAGTAAAAAAAGGGCCAGAAATTATGGATACTTCCCTAACCAAAGTCATGAAGGTGCGGATTACCAAATACAGGTCGGAGACTGGAGACTGGGTCGGTATTTCAATGTCACCTTAAAATAACGTTAAGTCATCTTTAATTCAAGTTTCACCGTATATCAAAGTATAAAAGTTCCCCTAATTCAAGGTGGATCTTAAGCTTATCTTAAGTTACCTGAATGAACTGATTACAAGTTCACCTTAACGTTAAGGATACCTTTGGTAAATCTTGATTTTAAGGTTACATTTGAAATACCGGCTTTTAGAAACAGCCAATTTACTCTTAATAGCAAGTATTATCTGTTTCAATTGATATTCGGTCTCATGTCTTTCCTTTTTTTAAAAAAAATGCAACAAATTGGTAGATTTCCTAACAAATCAATTATTTCCGCACTGTCTTCAAAAAAAACACATCTCCAAATAAAAAGGCAAGTTCTCTCCTCTTTTCCATTTTCCGGCCAGCATGAAATCAAAATTCAAAATATAAACAAATAGCAATAACACAACAGGGGTAACCGCGGTTAATACCAAACGCGTTTAAGCGAATACAATGGAATGACGTCATCAAGTGATCTGTCATCTTGAACCAAAGCGTAACCACGGTTAAAACCACAAAATTGTGGTTATTCGCTTAAAATTGGCTATATTATCAGCTGAGCAGTCCCTACTGTTTATTTGATTATTTCTAATTAAATAAATTAAATATAGAAAGTTTTAAAGTAGTGTTTATTTTCATTTTATGTTATGAAAAGTGAAATGAAGGTACCTCTATTTTTATTGTTAACATTTTTCAGGTACTGCTATACACGGCAGACATAAAATCTGATTCCTTATTATCCAGGGGTCTATTATAGAATCTAGCAAATACTTTTGATCTGTTGCTCCACCCTGCATTTTTACTTATAATGTCCCAAGAAACACCAGCACGGTTTGCTGCTGATGTAGAAGCGTGTCTTGTAGAATGGGCTGTGAATATTTTCGTGTTGATACCAGCCCTGTGAAGCAAGTGTTTGAGCCAATGTGCTATGGTGGATGTAGATACATGTTTGTGAGGAGGCTTAGAAGATATAAAAAGAAAATTTTCGGAGTCTGGTCTTATTGCAGCTGTTTTTTCGATATACGATAAGAGTGTTGATGCCACGCATAGCTTTTCTTCATGAAAATATTGCAATTCGAAGTAAGGTTGATATGCATTCAGCCTTGAGGTCTTAATATTATTTGGAACATATATTTTTACTCCACTTTCCTGGAAAATAATATTTTTGACTTTTATTAGATGCAACGTTTGAAGACGTTGTCCAGTAGCTAATGCTAGAAGAATTGCTAACTTTTTCGTTAGCTCCAGGAAGTTTAGAGCATCATTAGATGGTAGGTTCTTTATGTATTTTAACGCTATTGAAGGATCCCATGTTATACTGTATTTTGGTTTGGGTGGTCTTAGCTTAAATATGCCCTTAAGAAATCGTCTCACCAGAGTATTTTTTCCGATGTCGTGAGGAAGTATCAGAGAAAGTGCCGATCGATGTTGATTAAACGTAGCATAGGAGTTTTTCTCTTTATCAAACTGTAGTTGTAGGAATGTTATTATGTGTTCTACTTCTCCTTGAAAAGGGTTGATATTTTTACAGTTGCAGAATGCCCACCAGGCTTGTAAGGAACTGTTGTATTGTTTGATTGTACTCTCCGATAGTGAGGAAATGGCTGTTTCTAAGGATTGCTCTGGAAATCCTTTTTGTTTGAAGGCTTCCCGGACAGCGTTCCGGCAACCAGGGTAAGGCCTTGATGCATTGGGTGAACTTTGCTAAAA